ATGCTTGGTATCCTGCAAATTTAAGATCAACGGGGTTCCAATATTGTTTGTTTAAGAATTTGTTGTTTTGGGGTTTCTTTTTCCCTTAATTTTTTTGTTTTAAATAATGGTATTTTTTTACTCATACTTAAATAGAAGAGATAATGAAAAATTATATTAAAACTTTGGGAAGTGACAGTTACCCTTAAAATTAGATTTTTCATCTAAAAAACTGTGGGTCTTGGCAGGTCATAGTAAACATTTTCAGTAAACAGTTTGTTTTATTACTTCACATAGCTTGAACAAGTTGAAAGAAGGACAATAAATTAATAAAGCAAATAGATGATATTCGTTATAAGGGAAGGCTAGCTAAATAGGTTATGTTTACCTTACAAAACATGCGCCCTTGAGGGAGGATATGTTTATTAAGTACAAATACATTCAAGGTCAATGCAATGAATTCTCAAGGGAACATTTCATCTCAAAGCACTGCCCAAAATGAAACAAGGACAGTTTGCTTTGCTATTTTCATGAAGATTGAAATTAGAAAAAGAAAAAAGCAAGACTGCCCTATATTGCTGGAGGAGGTACATTTCAAAAAGTGAATATAGCAGTTTGGTGATATTAGTAGATGTTTACCTTTTGTACCCAAGAAAAATAACATAAAATAGGGAGATATGTGAAATCTGTACAACTTGTTATAAATAAACCCTGTTCCAAATTATTATGCAAATGATATTCTAATTCTCATGTTATCAACTATTAAGAGTACAATTCATATTTTATTGAGCAAACCTCCTAATGATAACAGTATTTTTTTTAAACATAAAAAACTTACAATGCACTGTTCCAAATTATTACCCACAGTAAGTTTCAAAACACGTTATAGGCTGAAAATTGCCATTTGTTGAGTTTGCAGCATATTTACTGAAATCAAAAGCTATTTCAATCAAACTTATAGCAACATTTTAACTTTTTGAACATTTTAACAGGTCATGTTACATTTTAACATAGGACCCATTATTTGATAGCAGCTTCACAAGTCTTGCATCCATTGAACTTGTGAGTTTTTGGACAGATCTGTTTGAATTTGTTTGCAAGATATCAGAATAGCCTCCCAGAGCTGCTGTTTGGATGTAAACTGCCTCCCTCCCTCATAGATCTTTTGCTTGAGGATGCTCCAAAGGCTCTCAATAGGATTGAGGTCAGGGGAGGATGGAGGCCACACCATGACTTTCTCTCCTTTTATCGCCATAGCAGCCATTGATGTAGAGGTATTCTTTGCAGCATGAGATGGTGCATTGTCATGCATAAAGACGATTTTATTACGGAAAGCATAGTTCTTCCTTCTGTACCAGGGAAGAAAGTGGTCAGTCAGAAAGTCCACATACTTTGCAGAGGTCATCTTTACACCTTTGGGGACCCTAAAGGGGCCGACCAGCTTCCCATGATTCCGACCCAAAACATGACTCCACCACCGCCTTGCTGACGTTGCAGCCTTGTTGGAACATGGTGGCCGTCCACCAACCATCCACTACTCCATCCATCTGCACCATCCAGGGTTGCACGGCACTCGTCAGTGAACAGGACTGTTTGAAAATTAGTCTTCATGTATTTTTCTGCCCAATGCAGCCGTTTCTGCTTGTGAGCATTGGTTAGTGGTGGCCGAATAGAAGGTTTATGAACAGTTGCAAGACTCTAGAGGACTCTACACCTTGATGTCTGTGCGACTCCAGAGGCACCAGCACCTTCAAATATCTGTTTGCTGCTATGTAATGGTATTTTAGCAGATGCTCTCTTGATCCGATGCATGGATCTGGCAGAAATCTTCCTCAATGTTCCTTTATCTGCACGAACCCGTCTGTGCTCTGAATCAGCCACAAATCTCTTAATAGTGCGATGATCACGCTTAGAAATATCTAATGTTTTTATACCTCATCCAAGGCATTGAACTATTTCACTCTTTTTGGCAGCAGAGAGATCCTTTTTCTTCCCCATTTTGCATGAAAATGGTGTTCTGCTTAATAATGTGGAACACCCGCCTTTAGTAGTTTTTCCTTAAATTGGGCTCACCTGGCAATCTAATTATCACAGGTGTCCGAGATTGTTTTCACTGATCAAAAGAGCCCTGAGACACAATGCCATCCATGAGTTAAACTGAAAAACAAAATATTTAATCTTTGTGACACTTAAATAGAATTTGCATAATAATTTGGTACAGGGTGTAAGCTAAATGTAAAACAAGCAAAAAAAATTAATAAAAAAACAATAAAGGGGCTACTGTGACCAGCTTCTGTTGAACCACTGTTTAGTAAATAAACCCTAATGAAATCTGGAATTTGAGACATTACAAAAAAAAAAAAAATGTATATATATATATATATATATATATATATATATATATATATAGTGTTCCACTTTAAATGTATAATGCTTTGAATTTCCACTTTTGGGAATCAACCCCTTGGTATTTCAAAACTGATATCATATGTGGTCAGGGATTTTAAAACAAACATTGAGTATAAAAATATTGAGTGACAACATTAGTTTTCTACTAAATTCTAGTTTGTTCAAGTTTGTTGTCAGCTACTACTCAGATTTTAGTGAGTAGTACACGAATGCCTGGTGAAAAAAAGTCTATTTAGGTAAACTACTTTGTCCAAAAATGTAAAAAAAATTTCAGCATGGAAGAATTTTGACAAAGTGGAGGTTCTGGAAAACAAATTGGATGAACCAAGGGGACGCAAATCGGTGTACTGTAAAATATATACATAATGGAAGTATTATGTATTTATTTTGCAGTACACTAGTAGGCACCTTTTCCCTCCATGTGCTCACAGATCAAGTGAGAAGCAGTAACTATTCGTGGAGAAAAAGAAAGAGCAGTAGAAAATCTACATTGATATATTTTTATTTAAAATATAATGCATAAATATAGATTGTCATTCACTGCTCAACCTTTTTTGCCCTCTATTGGTCAATGTTCACAATATCTTTGAATCAACTCAAAGTTTGGTGGCTGTCCCCTATCCATCAATTAACTTTCTTCCCATCAATAATCTCATTTGTTTTTGGCACCACTGACAGACCTCCGAATCACGAATGAAAATGAACATGCTTGTCTATTTCGGTAGTTGGTTGTTCCGTTTGGCGGTTCAGAGTTCTGGAATGTGGACAATTACGTGACTTACAATTTGGAGCAAACCGAATCTCCAAGCTTAGTAAATAGCTCCCCTCAACTCCATTTATTCTTTAAGATATATTTTGTTGTCCAATGTTGGCCAAATCTACGGTTTCATTCACTAAACAGTAATTAAGCTTGGGATAGACATGAAGCTGTCCTGAGAGTGCAACCATTGTTTTTAAATGGGACATGAGCAATTCCTTTTATCTGTCATCAGAATTTATGTTTCTACATTAATCTACAATTTCAGTGTTGATTTTCCACATTTTCGTATGTAGACTTCTGTAAATTACAGGAAATATTGACAATCACACTTTTGCCATAAATTATTTTGGAAATACTTTTTAGATATGACACAAGATATTTGCTGTATTATGAGGAAAACATAAATACACCCAATGTAACATTTCCCATAGAATGATCAGCACTTGATTGGAAAACATTGGTCATTATATATTTTGTAACAGAAAATTGATATGAGTTAATTCTATTTTGTTTGCTTCTGCTAAACAGGTGGTCTTTCAAGGCTGATTTTTAATGTTGTTTTAATCATAGTTTAGTTACCATGGAGAAATATGCAAGCTAACACGAGTACACAGAAGTGAAATTTGTACTGCATAGATAATAGACTAAATTTAGAATGTGACTTAAGTTTACCACTTCCTCCAAAAAATGAGAAAATATGAGTAATAATTGAAGTTGTCTGCTGTGAAAAAATAAATAAAATAAAAACACATTGCGAGAATGTAAATTGACACAGTTAACGTGAATGAATTGCTTGTTTTCATGCCGCTGAAACTGACAATATGGTAGACCTGACCTTTTCGGTGTGTGGTATAACAGCAAATTGGCATATGGATTCCCCATTTGTTCTTACAATGCCAGAGATACAGGAACAGTTGATAAGACTTCATGAAATTAAAACGCATTTATTGGAACAAGCATTTTCGCAAGAAATTAAAAACAATAAGAAATGCCAAATCATTAATCAGTTTAAGGGGAGTCTACTTTTACCAAATTTGGATATCATTCTGTATACCTTGAAATAAAAACTACCGGTAGTTTTCTACTGTGCATTTTTTGTTCTCTGTAGTAGCTTTCAGCCAAGACCTCCAAGTGGATGTGGTATTATCTTCCCATTACTTTCCAATCATCCCCACACAATTATTCACTAAAGGTCGACTAGCCTGCAGTCAATTTTTTCTTTTCAACTTAGTCGGTTTGAGAGTAATGGTAGAGCGTGGTATGTATATTTTATTCCCTTGTTTAGAACACGCTGTTGTATATCTATGATGGAAACCAGTTCAACTCAAATATTGTGTTCTTTCCTGACGATAACATGTTTCCTCACAAAATCGTTTAAACCTAACTCCTAAGCCTGTTGAGGTAAGAAGGCTAACTGTAATTAAAAAATATTAAACATCATTGCCAAGTTGAAACAAACTCAAGATACGCTTTCATTAATTTACCTTTTGTCAATATTGGAACTCTGATTGAATGAGTACAAATAATGAGATAATTCTAACTCGAACATCATCACTGGCACTAGAAGCAATGGGTACCAAACATGTTATTGGTCAAAATATAAGACTCTTTAGAGCTTACCTTGGGGTAAACCTAGCCAATCATATTGCTACATTTACCTACTAAGTTATCACATTTCCTAAATCTTCCCCAAATCCATCTATTGTTCTTTTCTTTTCTGGTAATTAATTTCCCCCCCCCCCAAAAAAAAAAATCAGTGTTTTTAGTTTCTATGAGTTTATCCCAGGGTTTCATCCAAATAAAATCTACGTTTGTTGAAATTATATTACTCTTGTCCTAAAACCCCAGTACACAGTTATCTAAATTATAATCAATCCATCATGGGTCAACTAAACATTCAAATTAATGCCCTGCTAAATAAATGTTGGAAGCTATACATTCTGCAAATTATGAGTGCATATCTCAAATCCAGTAAGTTAAAGGGACACTATAGTCACCTGAACAACTTTAGCTTAATGAAGCAGTTTTGGTGTATAGAACATGCCCCTGCAGCCTCACTGCTCAATCCTCTGCCATTTAGGAGTTAAATCCCTTTGTTTATGAACCCTAGTCACACCTCCCTGCATGTGACTTGCACAGCCTTCCATAAACACTTTCTGTAAAGAGAGCCCTATTTAGGCTTTCTTTATTGCAAGTTCTGTTTAATTAAGATTTTCTTATCCCCTGCTATGTTAATAGCTTGCTAGACCCTGCAAGAGCCTCCTGTATGTGATTAAAGTTCAATTTAGAGATTGAGATACAATTATTTAAGGTAAATTACATCTGTTTGAAAGTGAAATCAGTTTTTTTTTTCATGCAGGCTCTGTCGATAATAGCCAGGGGAGGTGTGGCTAGGGCTGCATAAACAGAAACAAAGTGATTTAACTCCTAAATGACAGTGAATTGAGCAGTGAAATTGCAGGGGAATGATCTATACACTAAAACTGCTTTATTTAGCTAAAGTAATTTAGGTGACTATAGTGTTCCTTTCAGGAAAATCCGACTGCAGTTTTTTTGTAACATACATTAGTTTGCTGTTCTGAATAAAATAATATCAACGCAGATTTATGCTGCAGTTCCCATAAATATATCCTATGGTGGGTAACATGATCTGATTGGAATATCTAGTAAGGGTAATAATCAGAATAATTATCTATGTAAGACTGAGAAAATGTACAAAGGTAATATTTCTATTATTGTATTGAACAAATGAGACTATACCGAGCATCAGAGTATATTTTCCTAGTGAAATAATAAAAAAAGCAAAAAATATATAATATAAAGATCAAGTAAAAATAAAATAATTTTTATAGTGTCATTATAAAAAAATTATGTTTAATTACATTTTTAAGCTATTGTTTCTTACTCTATTTTAATGGCAGAAGTATTTTTATTTGAAATTCTTTTTAAAATAGATGTATTTCTTTCTGTTGTAGAAGCCAACTAATTTCATCCCATAGATTTTCAAGGTCTTTTACATTCTGAATCCTCCCTATAAGAATTGACTTGCTGTTAAAAAAAAACAAAAAAAAACCACATGCTCCACCTTGAATTCAGGTATGTTATCTTCTTCTGGGGAGTTGGAACAAATGCGCTGTTATGTCCGTGCTATTTGTTTTACAAGTACCTTAGAGATAGGGCTAAGTTTTCAAGGACAAATCCGGTAAAAGAAGAGAGATTTGAACATGAGGTCCCCCAGCACATGAGAGTGAGAGATCCTTTTCAACACCAGCTGTTCTAACAGATATAGATTGCCGCAGTAAAAAATTCTTAATATAATTCAGGAAGCTCTAGAGAGTTCTTCAAAACAACTGTGCCAACAAGTAAAATGTTGAATTTTTTATCAGCTGCCCAATGCTTAGTGTTACTGGGCATACCTTTCATTCATGACCAGATGTTCACTGCAGTTGCAAACTACAGTCAACTTGAACCCTGTAGCCTTATACCAATGGTTTGCATTGGTATTGGCAGCAGACACACATTGGAGATTTAGGGTCTGCAAGTAAAATAGGCTGACGTTATTCTATGACTTCCTGGTTTTCCCCAGCCACCATACAAGGTAGGGAGATTTAATATATGGAGTGTACTTGTAGCGTTAAAATGCTATTAACACCTGGCTAAAGATCCTTTTGGAACAAAGAACATTTTACATAAATGTTACTATAATTA